GGTTGGTGGGAGCAGGGGGGGCACGGGGGTCCCGAAGATGCTGCTGTCACCCTGCCGGGGCTGGAGCCTGGGGGTCCTGCAGGGAAATTTCAGACAAACTTCTTCTAGCCTGAAACCCTTGAATGGGAGGGTCGGAGGTGAAGGGCAGTGGTTTTCCCACCAGCTGCTGAGCTGTTGCTTTGATAACACAGAGAGAGGAGGAGGAGAGGAGGCAGGGAAGGGGAGGAGGCTGGGCGATACATACGTTGCTGCATGTCTGCTCCACGCACTTCTCAGTCACTTCTGTAGTCCCCCAGGTCAGTCCGTGCCAGCCCCACAGTTCCCCCCCGCAGTCCCCTCTGCCACCCACATCTCTCCGTCACTTTGTCCCTAACGGGCTCCCCGGCTGTCGCTTGCAGTTGAAGCCAGCGAGGAGGGCTGCGAGTTGAACGGCCGGGTCTATCGGGACGGGGAGGTTTTCCAGCCCAGCTGCAAACTCCAGTGCCGCTGCCTGGACGGGGGCTTCACCTGCGTGCCGCTCTGCCAGGAGGACGTCCGGCTGCCCACCCTGGACTGCCCCTACCCACGGCGTGTGGAGGTCCCGGGGAAGTGCTGCCCTGAGTGGATCTGCGAGGCCCGGGACCGGCACCTCCTTCGGGATGCTGGGGCAGGTAAGATGCACGACATGCCAGCGAGGGGATGCCCACACAGGTCGCTGGAGGTGGTCCCCTCACCCCAGATCACAAACACCAGCAGGAGACACCTCACTGCAGAACTCCCCGCCATGCAGGGCTCTGCCCGCAGCACCCGCGGGGCACGCTGTGCAGCGCCGGGCTCCAACGACCCTTTCTCTCCCCATCTTTTTTCATCCAGTCCCTGGGGCTCCCCCCCTCTCCTCCAACCAGACCCGCTACTGCCGGCTGGAGACTCAGCGGCGGCTCTGCATGGCCAGACCCTGCCCGGCTCTGCCGGCGGCATCCCCAGCGGTAAGTGGGCGTCTCTGGGCAAAACGTTTGGCTAAGAAAGGGAAATGGCAGCCAACACGAGCCATAGGACCCCCGATTACTTGTGGGCACGCCACGCCCCCTCCCCAGCCACGACCTGACCGTGTGTCAGGGACAGATAAACCATCTCCTGAAACTGTGCCTGGAAAACAGCTGGTGGCACGTGCAGACCTGAACTTTGGGGTCTCTGGTGATCTGAATCCGAGAGCACCGTGGATCCCACATAATCCTGAGCCCCACAGGTGGGCTTGACCCGTCCCTACGGACAGAGATGCATTTGCAGCTCCTGCCTGGCTCCCTGGGTACACCCACGAGGCAGCGCTGCCTCCCCTTTAATCAGCCTGGCACAGCCCCAGTGCGGACACGGTGCAAAACCACCTTGCTCACATGCAGCCAGCGCTTTCTGGGGCCAGGCGCCCGCTCTACTATATACCCCTGCTCCCTAGACATGGGGGACATGCCAGCACCCCGCTCCATCTCCCTGTCACTCTGCTCTGCTTTTTCAGAGGGGAAGAGGAGGTCGTTTGTAGCCGTACCCACCCCAGTCACATCCCGGAGCCAACGCCTCATCCTGGCAGAGTCTGGCACAAGCCCGCCGCACTGTGCTTTCAGTAGAGATGGAGGATGCGTCGCTTGGGAAACTGGGGAAGAACCGATGGACTTTGGCTGCAAAGGAGGGCGGAAATAGAGAACAAGACCCCCATGTCATGCAGCACCTGCCCTCTCTGTGCACCCTGTTGCCCCATGCAGGGTTACAGGCAGGGTTACCGAGTGTCTTAGGCTGAACGAAATGGGGAAACCACTGCATGAGCATGAACCCATCCGAGAAACTGGGAACTGGTCCTTTCCTGGATAAGTGAGGCTTTTGGAGAGGTGATGCTGCTCCTCCACCATGTCACGCATGCAGCTTGCTCTGCGGAGGCCGCGAGGGGAACCACCTCCAACACCTCAAGACCCATGACTCCGGGGTCCCCTCGCACGCCAGCCCGCCGGGGTAGGGGTAGGCACATCGGGCAAGCACCACAGGGCACCGCCACACCA